GTAATTATCTCTGGCTCTGGATATATGCATGTATGGATTGATATGAACAACAGATGAGGAAACCGATAGAAAGAAAAGAAGAAGAAAAAAAAAGAGGCAATAGAACGATCAGATGAATCCTTTCGCTACACGGATCTTGGGGTTGTGACAGTATATCCTTAAGATTATCTATTTACATGAATTTTTAACTATGGAAAAAATAAAATTTGAAAATTTATTATTTTACCAAACATAATTTAATGTATTTATTATTATTTTCTACACTAATAAATTAATTAAAAATATTTTTAATTAAAATAGCAATATATTTTTCACCAAGGAAAGAACAAGTACCTCGAGCATGGGCAGTTGCATCGCCATCAAGGTGCATAACGCTTTCAATGATGCTGAGTACTAGATCATATAGCTTCTGACAACCTATTAAAGCCTTACAAAGATCATCATCTTGTTGTCAATACTCTTGCAATATTTGTCTTATCATAAAAATAACCCATAATAAAATTTTCTAGTACCAAACTAAATTTATTCTTCAATACTAATATAATTCTTCTAAGTCCATAATTTTGAATTCTTTCACATAACTTCGTTATACAACCTATGTTGAACATAAAGTGTGTCATGTCGGCCACATGTAGTTGCTTGATAAGTTTTGGACACGGTCTGACTGAAAATAATAATAATAATAATAATAATAATAATGAACACATTTATTCGACAAGTGTGAATTAAAAATTTAATTTTAAAAGTATATTACACATATAACTTAAGTTGTCTCTTTAATTTAAAATGTGTTACTTAAATAACATAATAAATACTTTTATTATTTTTTTTATTAATTTTACCATGATTTTCATATTATTTATTTTTTATTTTCTTACAAAAGAATCAAAATTTTCAACTTCAAACTAACAAAATATAATATCATGCGACTTAGTGATAATTTTTTTTCCCATTGAGTTTAAGGTCTATAATGAGAATTCAATCACATCATAGCTTTGTCCCTTAGAGAAATGAGAATAATCTAATTTTAATAACACCACTGATAATACCATTATACTTAAATGTTATACCTATTTTTAAGAGACTATCTAAGTATAAGTCGAGATCTTTAATAGAAGTTCTCCCAAACTAGAAATTTTGAATCATTTGAATTATAGTAGGTTTCAGTTCAAAGTTATTAGCCTGGATAGCATACCTATTTATACTCTGATGGATTATTTATACTATTGGGTTAGCATACTCCCTAAGAGATCTAGAATGATCTTGATCTTGCACTAGTTCAGACATATCTAAATTATTTTTATTTTTTCAAATTTTTATCAGGGTCTTTTCTACTCAGGGTCAAATAACAAAGGCTCCTTACTAAATCTACTGAGCATATAATAATGATGAAACTACTAAAATAAAAATCATAAGCTAAACAATCATAATAGTAGTTAAAGTGTAATTGAGCGTGCATCATCACATCAATCTCTCTCATCTTCACCTGATAATATCCAACAAGTCGATCGAATAGATCATTAATCCATTATTTTGGATAGTTGTTCTTGATGGTCACTTCATTTAACTCCTTGTAGTCAATGCACATATGTATTGTAGTATCCTTTTTTTCACAAATAAAATAAGTGCTCCCTATGAAGACACACTAGGATGAACAAATCATCTATCAACCAACTCCTGAAGCTCCTTAGGTGCCATCTTATACGGAGTTTTAGATATCAGGGTCGTACCCAAAAATATATAAATAAAAAAATCCATGTCTCAATCTGAAGAAATATTGACTAACTCCTTAAGAAATATATCTGAAAATTCTCTTACTATTGAGACGTCAAAAAGAAGACTAGAACTTATACTCTTATCCCAAACTGATGCTAAAAATAACCTGCAACCCTTCTTCCATAATCTATCTGCTTCCACAATAGAAATCAAACAAGATAAAATACCTATAATTCCCTAAAATACACAACTTTTACTACCCAAAAATGAATAACTCACTTCTTTAAATAATTAATATCAGCCTCATACTGACTCAACCAATTCATACCCAAAATAACATCATATTAGAAAACGGGTAATAAAATTAAACTAGATATTGCACTTCTTATAAAATTTCAATATCATAGAAATAAAATCTACTGGCTATCATACCATCTCAAGTCAATAAGATAACAAAAAGAAAAACATACACTACAAATGAAGGAAAGTGTAGTAAATCGAATAAATACTCAGAAATAAATTGATGATTAGCTCTAGAATTGAATAAAATATAACAAGGATGCTAAGAAATGTAAACCATACTTATCATAATATCTAGAGCATCACGAGCCTCCTGCTGAGTCAAACTATGTATGCATGGATAAACTTGAGCTGGAATAGTAGTACTATAAGACTATTTCCGACCACTGGTAGATAGTATACCTACCATGGAACCATATCCATTACCTCTACTAGAAGAACTCTCAACAAACATATAAAGTGGAATTGTCCTCAATTTCCCTATTAGTCTAATAGAACTCTCATATTTGGGCTCAGATCATCAGTCAAACCCTGCTTGTAGGCACTCAGCCATCCTGTATCCTACATGTCCATATTTGAAACACTAGCTAGTGACTCTATAACACCAACTAAAGTGATATTTGCCATAAGTTTGGCACATAGGCGCCCCACTAGTGGAATCAAAATTGGCTACTCTTCCACTGCCAGAGACTGCTACATATACTGACTATCCACCTATAAGGAAACCTCCAGGTGCAAATCTATTATTCAAATATATATATATATACAACACTATTAGAAGTCTCGCCACAAATCCCGTTTGCTCAAGAGAGAATTAAATAGACCGACCTTGAGCAATAAACATTACCTCGTAATGCATAATTGTCCTACTTCCCTGAATTAGTCTCAGAAAAGTCTCTTGTAACTAATATCATATAGAAGGTGGTACAAACTAAGCTCAAAATACATAAGAGAACTCATCCTAGGTAATCAGAGAATTCAATTTCCCTTAAAATCTCCCTGCTTGTTATCCCATCCACCAGCGCTTTACCTTGCTATCAATAGAAAGACTATTAATGGTATATTCATCTCAGGAGGACACTACATACTATCAAATATCTTCTTCAGCCTCCTTAATTAGTCCTCCACTTCTCTGGGCTCAATAGTACTCTGAGATCTCAAAGACTTTAATCTTTGAAGCATCTACAGATGTATGCCTACCTTATAAGATCTTATAATAGGAACCATGCTCTGTGCCTCACCCATCATCTAGGCTATCAAACAAGCAAACTGCAAAACTATATTAGAACCAACTATCAGAGCAATACTATTTACAAGAGCTGCCTGACTGACACTCTACCTATCTGTCATATATATCTTAGTATGGTAGATCAATAATCACATAGAATATACTACTGAGCATACATGTACATAAAATAAATAATAATAAACACCCAAATAGACTTAAAACTAACCCACTTAATCTATAGATCAATTCTTATAACTTTATTCTATTATCCATTTCAAATCTATTGCTCTAATACTATAAAGCTTATCACCACCCAACCCGACTGAGATAGGTCCTATCATGTTGGGCTGTGATATGCAAATCTTAATATCTAGTTTTAGAATATTTTAGATTAACTTCTAATATTCATTTTAAATAAAAATAAACTAAAGAACTACTAAAACATTTAAATACTAAAGATAAACTCATCCATAAGATTTTTTTTTTCATTTCATCAAAATGTATCTACACTACATGACTATAAGTCAAAGCTATGGAACTGAATAGTAAACTATATATGACTGTACAAAATCAACAAAAGAAATGTATATTAACTCTAATCAGTCTTAAACTACTAATCAATCAGCTCATTCCCTTTCTCATAGACTAAAAGCTAGAAGCAAAACCACTGTGAGTTGCAATAGCTTAGCATGTCATATAATCCTATCTAAATTTCTATTTTTTTATTTAATATTTTTTAAAATATTTAAAAGAAATTAAATGCACTCTAATAGATCATTATACTGAGAAATATAATAAGAGCATAATAATTATTCAATTATTTAAACAATATTATGAAGTAGAAATTATAATGCATATCATAGAGCATTTCATATAACATATCTTGGACCTAAATAAAATCTTAAGGGATTATGGCCCCTTATGACTCTCTTTTATGCTTATAACATAAAATACTCGTAAACACCAGAACATGACTTATAACCACCATAACATATCTTATAGGCACCAAAATATTTCTTAACACAGATAGAATCTCAAAAGATTCTGGCCACATATCTCTCCCAACAGATATAATTTAATTACATAAGCTTATTCTTCATCATAATAGTAGTCAAAGTATAATTGAACATACGTCAGGATTGCATAGTTTTCTATAATGATAAGTAATAGAAAATCATACTAAGTAAAAAAGTACATTTTTAAAAAATAACTAAATCATCAAAGATTGTGTAAAATAATGTTTTAAGTCTTTTATCATACTATAACATTATTTTTTCAGAGTTCAGATAAATTTTATTCAATACACAAGGTTCAATATACTAATGTAAAATTTTCTAAAAATATTTAAAATGTGTATAATCTT